TATACTTTTCACTTTCACATGAGTCTTTCATTTACATTCTTCTGTGTTTTGTGTCTGAGGTATTCTCTTATCATTATGATATATCTACAACTGTATTGATCATTTGGTAAAGTTGTGAAAAAGGAAAAAACTAACACAATCAATACTAGTAATGTTGTGCAACTTTCATGCAACCTACCTTTTAAGTGCTAAGTACTGATGAATATATTACTATCAATGAATCTTTGAAAAAAAAAATTTTTTTCTTTCGAAAATGTCTAGTCTTGCTATTCAAACATTAAAACTATATAATCATATCTATCGCCCTAAATGTGAGATGTTATTACTTCAATCTGTTCGAACTATGACGGAAAAAACTTTTTTCAAATTTTTCTAATTTCACTAAGTTCTTTTAGCAAGCAAAATATGAGCACGGAAGCCTTTAATCAGCTACTTAGTTTTCCTAGTTATTATATGAACTATCTAAAAAAATCAAAAGAAACTTACAATTTAGAAATCACTATTAGAAACAGAAAAAATAATTCGAACATCATGAACCAAATTAAAACGGTTCCAAAGACAAAACAAGTATAGGACAAGAATGGAAAGATATCAACGAAAACAAAAAAAAAATGATGTGACCTGCTCTTTTATCAGAAGTCATCTATTGACAGACTTTTTCTACCGTTGAAGCTGTTTAAATATACACATAGGAAGAAAAAGGAAGAACAATAACCAAAACAGATTAATACTTCTTTTTTTGTTTGTTCGTTCGTTATTTAGTTGTCGATGTTTTTTTTATTGCTCTCTCTTCCTTTCTTTTATTGTGCATCGCCACAGTTCCATACGAAATCTAATAGAAATCATGTGACAGCAAAGAAATTTTAACATCATATGAGTTGTTTTCTTTTGCGAAAAGCTCCTTTCTCCACGAAAACAACCTGCGCATTTTGATGCAAGTTTCTTTTTTTTTCTTCGATACTTCAAAAATACGGCGAATTTGTCTTTTCAAGTGTACTGTTTGTTGAAAACATTCAGAACTGTGCACATAATCAATACAAAATAAAAACCAATAGGCGATATGGGTTGTTTATCATAACAATAGTTATCGTTTGCAGAAAATAGATGCAAGTGTTAATATTTACAAAAACAAAAAAACTTTCATAACTTTAGTTATTTCATAAACATCACAAACATAAAATTAACTTCAATACTTCTGTATTATTCTTATCTCGTGACTTGCACTTTATGGTCATTAGTATAGAAATCATTAAAATTAGTTTCGTTATATTGTATTGTTTACATTACATGTTATTTCTTTTTCTTTTTGAAAATACATAATGATAGTGATTAATTTTATTCTTATCGGTTCTGATATTTTAACAAATAAATACTTTTTTCAAAGCAAACAGTAGATAGCACGTCACGTCCTATCTCTCTATGCTACTTAACATGATTATAGAGTACTGTGAAGCATTCACATAAGTTCTTCGCACAGCTCTACTAAAGATACTCAGCTTAAACTTCGAGAATAGTCTAGGTAAAATTATTTCATTTGATTCAGCAAACTAATCTGGTAGAAGAAAATCAAAATCTTTTGCTGTCCATCTTTTTCACAGCATGACTTTCATGTCAGTAAAATGAATTATTGTCAATGGAAGAAAATTATTAATGATTTTAAGAAAAATTTAAAAAAATTAATAATGTCTATTTCATTATTAGAAGTAGCGTTTGTTGCATTACTGTCGTCATTATGAAAAAAAACGCCATTAACTAATGTAAATTCCCTCATGTGTTGACTTTTTTAATTCCATGGACACTACCATGATGCCAATAGCGTCTACAACCAAAAAACACCTAAATAATGAATGTTTGTTTTATCTACTTTAGTCATTACGTGATATTTCAATGTATAAATAAGTTTCTGTAAAGAGAAAAAAACTAAAATTGTCGAAGTATTTATTCTTTCGGAATTTATGCTTTGAGCTGGTGCATCTACAGATTTTGACACACTAATGACAGCTTAGTGCCCGATAAAAGAAAGTTAGAAACCATAACAACATAAAAAATGAATTCTAAAGTTTTTTCATTCGTTAAGAGGTTAATAAAACTGATGGAAGCCGTTTCGTGATGATTAATCATAGTGGTTAAGTCGCAGAAAATTATACATCACTTAACGAGATCTATCTAAAGCTGAAATATACTCAAATTCTCAAAAAAGTGAATTTCTGACATAAAAAAAAACAATCTATCCCACAATGAGATTCAAATATTTATGAGAAACTTCTTAAATATTGCAGTATATACCGAATTTTATCATAAGAGCGAAAGTAAATTAAACAGAAACTATGAAAATTGCTCCAATATAATGAAGAAATTTCTTGATGAATCATGAAATTACTGAACAATTAAGAAGTTATTTTCAGAAAGTTAAAACAAGCCATACAAACATCAGCAACTTCTGATAACACCCATACACATAAAGCTAATTCACATTCAGCATTGACCTATTCTGAGAAGTGATTATGAATTTACTAGGAAACTTCAGTAAATACAGAAATGACTGTATTTATTACATATAGATATCACTAAAACTTAATATTAAGAACAAGATCCTACCCTTATGAATATTGGTAACTTAAGACATCATTAGGAGACCTTAGTAAACACAGAAATTATTACATATATTCTACATGTATATATATATATTGTGATGTAATTGCATATGAAAAAAGGAGACTCTACACTCTAAAATATTGATAATTTTAGTAATTACTAAGAAACTTCAGTAAAGAGAGAAACAATTATATTTATTTCACATAGCTGTCAATGGATTTTAATATCAAGAGCAAGACACTTTCTTTAAAAAATATTGCTAGTTTTGGAAATTATTAAAGACTTTGTAGGGAGCTTGGAACTCGAAAATATTGGTAGTTCGTAAAACTTCTCAATGATTATTTAAACTATCAGTAGTTTTAAGGCTATGGTCTTGTTCTTAATATTAGAATATAATGAAACTTATGTCGAATAGTTATAATAATTGTTATATTCTAGAAATTCTCTGAACTTCTCAGTAACTAGTATGTTTGCCAATATTGTATGGGATAGAGTTTTCTTTCTCATTTGAAAATACATTAATATTTTTTTTGTAGAATAAACTTTTTGTACTGTGCTTACTATTGAAATTATCGGAAACTTGTTAGATATACTTTTACTGTCTTAATGAGCTGTTTGAAAATTTTCTCTCAATAGGAATATGTTCAAGCAGATCGTTTTGATTGCTTTAACGGAAATGGTGATCACATACAAATCGACTTGCTTATATAACTCTTCTATCTCGAGAGTTTCTAAATATTGATCACTTATGAAAGAAATAGATATTTTTGAAAATCTGACTGCTACTGCCAACTTCAAGTTATCTTTCCCATGATTGACAGGTTATAGTATGTGCTGATAGTTCTAATGAATTGTAATAGACGAAATCAGTTTATATTCCCCTAGTCTATGCTTATATTTGAATTCTATCAAATATTAAATGCATGATTTTTGATTATTCGGATCTAGTTAAGGACGACCAAAGATTTTAATGCAATTACTCATATGGAAATTGCCATTCATGCTTTTCATAGTAATAATTCGCTCACTGAATTTGTCAAGGGGTCGTGTTATGCTTTATAAGGTTTTCAACTGCTAAAAATGAAAAACTTGCGAGTCATGTTTCTATTGTTTACATCATCAAATTGCATTTGTTCTCTCTCTCTCTTTACATATTCCTTATAATGGTGTTTTAAGAATCCACTACTAATACAATGAGTTATGGGTTTTGTCTGTATAAAGAGTAAATCTTACCATCGTAGTTTTTTCATACTGCACAAGTTTCTGCTTTTACAATCAATAACGTTTTATATAAACTATGTGGTAAAGCGCTATAAATAATTGACTACTTTGCTTGATCCATATCCACAAGGTACTGCGTTTTAACAGTAGCACCGCCAGCCATAGTAAGACTTTGGTCAACTCACTAACTATTGTTTTTTACAGATCACTTCTCCAATAATTCGCTGATTATGGTATTACGTCCAGTTGCTCATGTGGATAGTATGTGGTTAGTTAGTGTATATAGAGTGCTCAAGCTATTACTGAATGCAAGAACTTGACGCCAGGTTCGCCTTCTGTTCGTGACTACAGTCAATATTATCTGTATGGAAGATACTGAGCTGCTGACTCTGTAACTAGGAAGTATCTTATACCGCCAAGCAGCTGAAGGCACACGTATTCTTCTTCTCATATTGAATAGCAAAGTTTGAGATTTTCTGTTATTTTTTAATGTCTTCCAAGGCCTTAAATGATAAACTAATGAAAATAGTAGCCTAGATAAAGATCGAAGCAGAAAAAAGGAAACTAAACGTCTATGAAACAGACAAGAGATTGCCATTATCTACCTCTTAAACTTTATCAAGAATGATTGTTATTCTAATTACATTTCCGTTGATATATGATGTCTGAACAAAAAGAAAAAATGAACATTAGCCTTTTATTTTCGTTGAGTTTTTCAGTAAAGCGACTTTATTGAAATGAAATATCGATTTTTTTTAACTAAACAAAAATGAAAAGGTTTCTTTCGAAAAATCGTTTGAAATTGTACCTAAATAAACTAGTCTAATCTTTGCTTACCTGTGTTTCACCTGTCTTGTAAATAAAATTAAATAAAAGCCACGCTCGATCATTGTTTCATCTTTTTCTTTCAGACAGAAGATAAGACAACTCAAAGAAAGTATTAATATCACGTTTACCTTGTTGTTATTGCAAGCAACACGATATTGTTAAGAGCAGATGACCTGAAATATTGAAAGTTTAAAAATCTTCTATATACTTTGTTATAAGGATTTTTATTATTGAAAAATTATGATCAATTGCGATGGATTGAACTATCTAAAAAAGCACTATGTATATTATTTGCTAAATTGCATGATTTAAAATAAGCATTGTAACACGATGTGATATTCATTGTTTCTGTTGTTTTATAAAATCGATTCAATTGATAAATTCTAAAAATAAACTTATTTCATTCATTAACTAATTTAAAATTCAACTGACTCTGCTTGACTATTATCACCATATATCTGATATCTTGTCAAAGTAACATTTTCAACTTTTCGACTTTCTTTCGTACGTTATCAAACTCAAAGAAGTTCAACATGACTATTCTATAACTAAACTGTGAGTCAATGAAAGTCATTGACACTCTATTGAATTTCATAGAAAAATCTAAAACAATGAAAAAGTCATAGATTATAATGGATAAGCTGAAACCGTCGTGAAAGCAATCTGTGTAGATATAATAAGATTGTCGACTTACTTAAAGATAAGAATATTAGACGTGTTGCTTGCTTTCTGAAAGTATTGAGATCATGGTCTAGCTAATAAGATTGGATATTTGCTACGGAAAATAAGTTACTAATAACAACAAGACCCTCAGTACTCAAACTGCTGCAGCTAATTCAAATGAATCTGAATTGACAATCGACATTTTCATGGATTAATGCTTATATATGAAACGGTGAAATTGTACAAAAAGATGTTGTTAGTAGCCAGTTAAATAGTCAATGTTTGCTCGTCTTGCTTAAATTAATATATTTCATACGCCTTTTTCTTTTGTTTCTCGATGAACATGTTTCTAAGGCACGAAATCAGTTTTTCGATGTTCTTTCACTACGAAAAGAGAACCATGAGATAGTACAACATATGCTCCATGGTTATTTGCACAATGTTATAGTGACGTGTTCTCGAGCCGGTTTGAATGTGATGTGGAAGAAGATACGATGTAGACACCCACACACGTGTAGAGTCAATATATATATATATAAATTTTCTTCTTGATGTTGATTATATTCGATGTTGTATAGGAGAAATTCTGGATTTATTATCTTTTGTTTTTAATAAAAGTTCTATGGCTTATACAAATGTTATTTTTCTTAACATTATGATCTCAGATCTATATTACAAAGACTCAAATAAAAAAGAACTTTGTATTGGTCAACTAATTTTCATGTTTTATTTGAGTATAAGAAAATTAAAAACAATATCATCTTATGACTTTTAAATAAGAGTATGAGATCACTTATTTTTATTTCGAGTTCTTCATTGAAAAAATAAAGCAAAACACATAAAAAAATAGCATTTATTCATCCTATTGAATTGTATGCATGTTTACACCATCTACAGTCAATACAACTAGCTTATTCATGTTGAACAGAATAGCACGACGAGGAGTTGGATGATATTTAATTGTTTTCTTTATTTTTCCATCTTTTGTGATCTGAAGCAGCTGTCCAGTCTCATAGTCGGCAATGAGCCATTCATTACTCGTGAGTGAACAACAGCGAAATGCAAAATTTTGGACCCACCTAATATCAAGTTGAAGTGACCAAATGCGATCGAATGTCTTTGCATATCTCAAGTCAATGCGCAGTGATTTATCGAATGTATTCCTAACCATCAGAGCAAGGTTTCCATTATTGTAAATAATACTATCGATTATTTCATCTTTGGCACAGGTAAGAGGATATTTCCATTCTCTACTAAATTTGATCGCTGGAGCTAATGTGAACTCCACAATAGATGAAGCATCTTCATTTGTGCTAGCAAATAGAACTGTATCAGAACATGTACATGATAACCAGCAGCGTTGTTCATTTATATGCAAATTATCAATTGACATTGTATTTTCGTTAATGAGAAAGATATTATGCTTTCCAAGCACAATCAATCTATTTAATGCTGACGACCAACACATGTCCTGAATCGTACCATAAGGCCATACTATTTGTTTGGCTATGTTCATTTCTCGATCAAAGAAACATATATTCGGTTGTTGATGTATCAATAAATACCGCTCATTGCCAGTAAATGGTCGAAAACTTCCCTTAGGACGATGAATTGTTTTGTAGACAGGCGAAAGAGTTGATAAATCAAGTTCATGTTCAGTTATTTTCTCAATTAAAATAGAAGTGTCATCTATTATTAATGGACCAGTATTGATTACGGAGCATGCTTTATCAATGTTGTTCATATTTTCTTCGAGTTGACGAATAGTTGATGTCAATGCATCGATCTCTTGACGAGTTGTTTCTTGTGTATTGATAAGTTCACTCATCTTCAAGTATATTCGATTGAGTTCGTCTCGTTGTTGACTAACTCTGTTATTGATAAGTTGAGCAAATTCTTGACATTTTTGTTCAAAAACATTATCAATCTTCTTATAACAATCTTGCCGCCATTGTTCAAGTTTTTGACGACTATTATCAATTGTTTTTTGAATATCTAGTTTTTTAAGACGATCCCCAAGTGCATTGATTTCATCAGTTAAAGGATTCAATTGAGAAATGAGTAAAGCATTATGTTCAGTTAAATGTTGTAGGCAGAGTTCTTGCTGACAACAATCACACAGCCCACGTGATGTACGCGTGCATTTCTTGACCGAACAATTTTGAGACATTTCATTAAAATGATAAAGTCCTGATATTCGAGAGATAGTTGTCGTAGGAAGATAAAATGAAATCCAATGTTATTTCTTAAGAAAAAAAATGTTTGTTTACTGAAGAAACAAAGAAAAAGATTTTTGTTGCATTCGTATAACCAAAGTTACGATGTTTTTAAGCTTTAAATTCAATACATTGATGCCGTAAGAATAGCAGTTTTACAAGAAAAACTATGAATACTTCAGCTGAAAGTGATTATTCGTCTGAAAATAGAATATTCATTTTTGTTTTGAAAATATGATGAAAAATAAATGATATGTTTGTATTATGTGTAACACGGTAACTTATGCATATTTGTCGTATCGATATTACACGAATGAACGAAATTGTGAATTCGAAAAAAAAAATTTATCGAAGTTAGTTGAGTTCAGAGTCTTGTGGAGTCATTTTTTCAATTCACGATATCATCCAAATCTAAGACTTATAGAAAATGGCACGTCTTTAAGGTATTCGCTACATTTCTTGACTGAATTACAAAATTTTAAGATAAGTCTAAAAGTCCTTTTTGTCCAGTTTTCCTTTTGGAAATGGCGCAAAAGCTATTTTTTGAACATTCCTTAATATCAATGTAGATTCTATCAAAAAGCAACAGCGTGAAGAGCTAGAAAACTTGGCATTTTGTAGAGAACCAGTTGCTCTAGTGCCCTAAATAATCTAAAGCAACATTTTTTCAGACTCTGAGAACAGCAAACATGGGTTTGGGATTTTACAGAGATCTTGAATTTTATGAATAGTGTAAAGATTTTATTTCCATAAAATTCTTGTTAGATAGAATTTCCATTGTTCAAAACACTATTTAAATCCTGAATGAAAGTTATTCTTACGGAAAAAATAGAAATAAAATCTGAAAAATCAATTTTTTGGAGCCAACATATACTTCTTTTTGTGCTTTTTATCAATGAGAGTGTCTCTTTGTTTTTTTTGTTCATTACTTAACATATGAAACATAAACTTGAAGGTATGTAAGAATAAAAATATTCGACTCCGACTAAAACGTCGGGTTTTGGAATTTGATACAGATTTCCACTTGAAATCAACAAAATACCGAATAAATATCATGTGATAAAAATTTCAGTCTTGTACTTCAAGAAAAACTATGAAAAATGTCGCTGACAATTTATCTTCAGTTATTATGGAACATACTTAATGGATTTATAAAATACAGTATTTTTCATTTTTAATAAAAGATTTCGTTGATATATTTGAAACATTGACACGAGCACTCGATACTCTTGTTTTATATAAAAAAATTTGGTTAGGGTTTATTTTTTGTGTGCATAAAAACTAATTTGATCTTGCTTCAAAGCTTATGAAGCACTCAACAACGTGTCACAAAGTGCAACACATGCTGCATATTTTATATTACTGTTTAGTTCGAAATTTTAGCAAACAAATATTGTGAAAACTTAAAGCAGTATTATTTTAATAATAGTTTTTTAATATGTTCATTTTTATTTCAATCAAACTGATCTTTTTTCCTTTTAGACAATCTTTTAAATATATATATATAAAGAAAACAAGAATGCTCTTTCTCTTTAAACAAACACATGTTTTTTTTTATCGGTTCTGTTTAAAGTATGCTAACAAAGAACGAAACAACACAAATATTTATTCAATATGTTGTTGGCTTTTTCCTTCAGTTTTGCATAACATTCAACACATAACAGTTAGTTTCTTTTTTTAGATATGTTTCTAACAATCAAATATTACAATAAATAGAAACATGAATGACCAAAATGGTGAATAACAACCTGATCTTTATCATTAACCATACTATGATAGTTATTTTGTAATAGCATAGTTAACTGTCAACATAGATGTCTTGATATATGTTGATTGTCGACTGAAAAAAATAAATAATTCAAAATGTGTAATTTATTTCAATGAAAATAAGTTGCTATTACTGGTATTGGAATAGACAATACATCATCAAGAAGATCTTGTGAGTCATGAGAAGTATTTTTAGAATTTTTTGACTAGAATTTAAAATGTACATATGTCATTTTTATGGTTTTTTTTGAGTGTAAATAAGATTGACATGTGTCATAATTTAAATGAATAAAATAATATGATCGTTTTGAATTGTTTTTTAGGGTCTCCTATTCTTTTACTTATAAAGAATTAATTCATCTACGCTATTATTCACTCATCAATATCGAAGGACATATTAAAGTAATGACAAAAAAAATATGACCTGCCAAACTATCATATTACCTCGTGAAGTATAATATGTGTAACATACTCTATTCGTTGAGGTTGGTTTATGCTTTCTTTAATCTATTAAAAATTTTATTCTTTAATTATTTTTTTCAAGTTTTCAAAAAAAAAGATAATAGCATTTTAAATTATCATACCAAATGAATCAACAATATTAAGTAATTTTTCAAATCATAGTCTTGTAATAGATGCACATGTATCAATTTGACTGAATATCAGATATATGAAAGTTTTCGTTTAATAGATTTCAACAATAAATATCAACGAGTTATGATATTATCTCCTACATGCTCATAACCACATTCTTATACATTTGCAAGTACTTCGGTTGATGGTTCTTTGAAATATTTTTTATCATCATTATAAATAAGAATGCAAATTATTGAAAAATTATTGCAGCGACAAAATAGATATCCTGTCGAATGAAGAAATGAATTGCGTCAATATAAAAATGAAAGTAACATGAATTGGTGTTCGATTTATGAAGTATATGTGTTCACTCAAATGAAATGTCTATTAATAATTTTCAACAATTTTTACGATCATATAATTCGAAATTAGAAATAAATTTTGTATTCCGTTGTTTCTGGAGAAAAAAAAATCAAGAATAAATACCGACATTAAATTATTATCAGTTAAAGAAAATAAATCAACATTATCAATAATTACATCATGATTTGTATACTTGATTTATCATTTGATAAATCGAGCACAAGATTAAAACAAATGATTCGATTACATCTAAGTAATAATCATTGTGTTTACGTAATAACTGACACATGTTATGCAAACATTAGTGTTGTTATCATTTATGTTGTTAGTAAAGAAGGCAAAAATTATCTTCCGAAAAAGTCTAACATCAACCGTACTTGATAACTATTAAATTTGTTGAAGAACGTGAACTTATCTCTTATTTAGTTTTTCATCAAAATATGAAATCTATAGCTACATAAAATGATGTTATTTATCGATAGCAACAACTTTGAAAACTATCATAATTACCTGTATGTGCAACGATCACGAGTCAATTTCCACATATATATTTAAAATAGAATCTCGTTCTCTTGATGAACTTCTTGCTGTTCAAAATCACAAAATCTCCTTGAAATCAAAAATCTATGACGAGATCTAACATCATTTCAAATTACACTTGAGATTGATGCATGCATCGTTAATAAAAATACATCAAATGCTATTGTTCTCATCACTATTACAACAAATCAATGAAGTAATATTAATTATTGTATTTACAAAAAAAGTTCGGCATTTGGTTTTGATAAGAAAAAGAATGTTAAATAAAATCTTGACTCATTGAAAAATATTATTCATAATCATTATTCAAAATTTATAAACACAAAAAAGAAAAAATATCTACGTCTCTTGTTACATCATCCCAGTAAAACTTATCAATGAAAATTGTCTCGTTATTTATGAAAGATTAGTCATCCAGTGTAATTCAATATGATCAAAGTACTAAAAATAGTAGATGTTGCTTATGGAAAAAAACTTGAAACATAAGAAGAAAATATGAAACTTGATTATAAAAAATAAACCGATCGGGTCTGAGTGTACACAACTGATTGTGAACAAAAATCAATTGAGACATTGTATTCGTTTTTCTTATATTTGTCTATTAGAACGACAATAACACGATATAAATGTTTTATATAATCCAACTTCAATTCATATTGCTCAAAATTTATATTCTCATTTTGATTATTATTCAAAATTGGTAAATGAAGAATATTTGTGTTCATTTACACAATCGAATCTATCTGACATTCATTTTGTTTGTAAATATTCAAGTTCTGAATGTCAAGAACAATAGACTTGTGATCATATCTTATGTTATCATCATATACTGATAAGTATAATGATATATATCTATATATTGTTGGTTATTCTGGACATAAATACGAATATTAAATTTGTTAACAATCATTATGAATTCATACAAACAAATCGTATATAGATAGAATTTATAAAAATGAAAATCTTCAAAAGATATTTCAGAAGAAAGCCTTACAAGGTGTATATCAATGTAATTCAATTATTTTTGAACTAATTCCTGTTCATAATCATTTTATAAATAGAAAATATAAGAATATATTTCGTCAGCATAATAATACAATATTTTTCAAGTTATAATCGAGGTTTTACTAGAGCTTTAGCAATCATTGAATTTGATAAAGCTGTTTCACCGACTGGTTTTCTTACAAGATCAATAGGTATTATAGCTTTTTTTTTATTCACTGTGTATCGTTAATGAACAAGTCTATATAATACGAATAAGAAGATGACAAATGAAAATTAAACTTCCTCAAATTATATACATAAGTATTATTCAAAAACGCGCTACTAAAATTACGAAAACATCCTTAAAAACTCCACGTTAACTCAATATATATTAGACATGGATTTGATTGATTATTTGCTACAAATCAGCATCTTTTTAGTACATTAGGACCAAATATATGATATTATTATCGTGATATCTTTATTGTATTTAAACAAGAATTAATATTTTATCCAGATGTTAATTTCTCCATTCAAACAGCAACAACATGCGGTTAAGGTAGAAACGCAGAAAAGCAACAGACATGATTTAAATATTCTAAGATATTACAAGGTTAAATTTAACACTTTCATAAAAGTAAATTATTTACATTTAGATTATATTGATTAGGTTTGTATGTCAAAGTATGCATATAATTGATTATTATCATATTCTCAAAAATTCATCTGGAAATACTTTTCATCATAAGTTAATGATTACGAATTATATTATTTATCTTAGCATTGTACATCGACTAGATTAAACGGACATTCCTTATTAAAAAAATATGTTCTTGAAGAAATTAACAAAAAAAAACTATTAATAAATATTTTCGTTTTCATAGTGAAACTATTATAAGATTAGCAACTGACAATTTTACATAATATAGTTGTATTCTCATGACTATACCACGGTTTCGTCATAAGTATCAAACTAATAATGATGAAAGTAATATTATATTCATTTATCGACAAGAAATAAAAAATGATATCATATTAGTTAAAATAATGGTCATAATCTATACTTCATATGTTCTATTACTGATATGTCATCAAACAATAATATCAATGATTATTATGAATTTAATTCATATTTAACAAATAATTATTTCCTAGTGTTATGATACGCTAAAACAAAATTGTTATGTTAAAATTAAATTAAATTCATTTCATCGTAGCTGTAATATTTATGATTATATAATTTATTGTATAACAAAAAAAAATAAAAAATAAAACAATAATCAAATCAAATTATCTTAAGATTTGTGAGAGTATACATTCTAACGTTCGAAACTTTATTCAACTTGATTATATTCAAATGAGTACGTATAAAAGAATTGTATTTATTCGAGACTTGATCATTTAACATGAACTGACCCAAGAATATTATTCATTGTTTTATAAAAATTCTAAAGAAAGCCATAAATTATTGATATTTTCATCAAAACATTCTAATTATACTAGAACTGTTCCAGAAGCAACATCAGAAGATGATCAAGATCAATAATGAAAATTCTTATGAAATTATTTTAAATATAAGATATTCGATCAAGATGATATATCAATGATTTTGTTAATTGTTTCATAGAACATTCATTTGAATACTTAAAAACATATTCTCATCCATTTCAAAATTATCCATATTTAATATCTTCAAGTCAATATGATAAAAACTATCGAAATCTTGTTGATTTTATGCATATCAACATTCAAATTTATCTGCTTATTTAATTTCATATTGATATCAAAGAGATTGTAAAGATAAAACAATTGAACACTAAGTTAAGTATTCACATGATGAAAAAAGCGCACCATTATCACTTATGACAGACATGTTAAATAAAGTTTGATATCTATAATACAAACAAAACAATATCTTTTCTAGTAGTTATATTAGCAAAACTTTCTCTATTAGAAAGTTACGAGCAAATATGATTAGCATAAATGATTGAAACAAATCTATGATAACTTATTTTTCATAACAGATATCATAACATTTTTATTTATTATTATTTTTTTCGTTATTCATACTTTATTCAGTGAAGAGATAGCTGTCATTTTAAAAAGATAACCCACTTTTCTTTTTCAGCATAGATCAACCTCCTATCAAGAATTATAAATAAAGCGAATCGCATAAAAATAAAATTCATAAAACTCTTGTTTGTTTCTATCAAAAAATATGGCATATTTTATTTAAAATTGTTCTTATATAATGACTGATTAGTAAGGTCATCTATCGACAATATATACATACCACCATATCGGATCGCAGCATGATTGTATTTATTCGTTCGTTTTGTTTTCTTCTATCTTATTAATCTTTTCATATAGATATATCATTTTCAGAATTTTATTATAGTCACAAATAATTAAAGAATTAATTGATTATAATTGATATATTTTCTATTTTGTTATTCAACAGTTTCTTTTTCTTTTTTTCAGATTTTTACCATAAATGGATAATGATATGAGAGATTCCGAAGATGTAGACATGATGGATATTAATGAATCAACGTCAAAAGAAAATAATGCACCTATTCAAACAAAAGAACTTGATGTTGTTTCAAAATCAATAGTAACAAAACATACACCTTGGCTTGAAAAATATCGTCCAACAAAACTTGATGATATTGTTGGTAATGAAGAAGCAATATCACGTCTTGCTCATTTTGCTCGACAAGGAAATTTACCCAATATTATTATTTCAGGTCCACCTGGATGTGGAAAAGTTTGTTTTTCTTTTGAAATTTGAATAAATATTGGATGTTTTTTTTTATCTAGACAACAAGTGTTTTATGTCTTGCAAGACAGATGTTAGGTGATTCTTTTCGTGAAGCTGTACTTGAAATGAATGCATCGAATGATCGTGGTATTGATGTTGTTCGAACAAAAATTAAAATGTTTGCACAATCAAAAGTATCTTTACCAAAAGGACGACATAAAATAATTATTCTTGATGAAGCTGATAGGTAAATCAAATTTTTTTATCATGAATTTTTTTTTATCACATTGAATTTTTTTAGTATGACAGAAGGAGCTCAACAAGCATTACGTCGTACAATGGAATTATATTCTAAAACAACTCGATTTGCACTTGCATGTAATGCTTCAGATAAAATTATTGGTATATATCGTTTTGTTATTTTTTTTTTTTTTATTTAATATAAATATAAGTTATCTTTTTTATTTAAGAACCAATTCAATCTCGATGTGCTATGTTACGATATTCAAAATTAAATGATGAACAATTATTAAAACGTTTAATTGAAATAGCTAAAGCTGAACAAGTTTCATTTACATCTGAAGGTCTTGAAGCAATTATTTTTACAGCACAAGGAGATATGCGACAAGTAGAATTATTTTGTTTTTTTGTTTTTATTTTTGCCTAAAAAGAAAATATAATTATAGGCTATTAATAATCTTCAATCAACTGTATTCGGATTTGGTCATGTAAATAGTGAAAATGTATTTAAAGTTTGTGATGAACCACATCCAATTCTTATTCGTGATATGATTGAAAAATGTCTTAAAAGTGATCTTGATGAAGCATATAAAGCAATGAATCATCTTTGGCGATTAGGTAAATTATATATATATAGATATAAGAATTATTTATATTAATTGTTATTTATGAAAATAGGTTATACAGCTGAAGATATTCTTTCTGTGATAATGCGTGTAACTAAAACATATCCAATGAGTGAATTTATGCAACTTGAATTTATTCGAGTATAAGAAAAAAAAACAAAAAAACTATCGTTTTATTTTTATCTTAATATTAAAATTCTTTTTTTAGGAAATTGGTTTGACATATATGCGTGTTAGTCAAGGTGTTGAATCCCAATTACAATTATCGTCATTACTTGCTCGATTATGTGAACGAGCTAATTCGAATGCTCATTAGTCAGATTGATGCTTTTTTTCCCTCTTTCTCTTGTAAAAATAATTATATTTTGAAGATCAAATGATTTATTTTTTTTGTCTGTGTTTATTTTCGTGATGATATATGAAAAAGAAAACTTCAGATAATATCTATTGTAGATAAAATGGATACATCAGGAAAAACGGATTATTGGCATCAACAAGATGTTAATCAAACAGCCAAAGCACATTTAAAAGTAAATCTTTTTCTATTGTTTTGTTTTTTCTTATCTAAATTATTTTTTTTTTATAAATTTCAGTTACCTGTTAATTCTCAAGTAATATCTCATTATGATGGAGGTATAAATGAAAATAAATATTTTGTAAATTTTTTTTTTTTTAATAAACATAAATTTTTAGCCGTTCATTATTACGAAGGTATAAATGGTAATAATAATCCATTAAAACGTAGTTATTCAGGATCAGATCAATTAGCTTCACCATTTAAAAAACGTCAATTTATTCAACCAGTAATATCACAAACAACAGTACAAACTCAATCATCATCAGTTGATCATAGTGGTTTGTTAAAAATTATAATTTTTTATTTTAAGATTGTTTGTTTTTTTTATTTTAAACTATTAAGATGATGAAGATGATGATGATGATGATGAAGGTGATTCAATGAATATGAATATTTCAAGTGGTATTATGGAAAAAAATTCTGGAACAAAACGAGATGATAATCGAAGACGAGCTGCTCATACAGCGGCTGAACAAAAACGTCGAAATGCCATTCGAGTAATTTAAAATAAAATATTTAATTTAATTTTATGACTTTTCTTTTTTTTTTTCAAATTTTATTTATTAGAAAGGATATGATGCTTTACAAAATCTTGTACCCAATAGTCATTTACTTGATCCAATTAGTTCACAAAAAGTTAGTAAAGCAGCAATACTTAAACGATGTAAGTTTTAAAGAAGAACAATTTTCTATAAAAAAACATCTAATATTTTAATCGTTTAGCTACTGATTATCTTATTCAATTAACTAAAGAACAACAACAATTAAGTAGTCAATTAGAAGCAAAAAATAAAGAAATATATTGTTTACGTGCAGTTCAAAAGTTTGTTTTATTTTTATATTTTATTATTTTACATATGTCTTTTCTTGTAACAAATAGAACGTATGAAGAAATTCTTGAAATGAATATGAATTCAATGAAAAATGCTACTAAAACAATTGATGATGAACATAAATTTAAAGTGGTATGTTTGATTAATTTGATTTGCTTAGTTTTGTACAAAAAAATCATCTTTTTTTTTGATAGTTTCAAAATATTGCCGATGCAATTTTTATTAGTTTTGATCAAGCAATGGAATCAGGACAAATAACAGATTTTTCTCAATTTGCATCAACTATTCTTCGTTGGGTTGAAGATTCATGTCGACCATCGGTAAAAAAACAAAATATTTATTTATGAAATGCACAAAAAATTAATTTTTTTGTTTTGTTTAGGATATTACTGATCTTATTCGTCGAGTTATTGGAAATTGATAACCTTGATCTCTAATTTGTCATATTTCGTCTTCTATGTTTTATGATCACTTTTTTTTTATGTATATTTTTGTATTTATTAAGTCTTTTTCTGTTCATATCGTTCATTCATTCTTGTTCATACATTAAATTTATGTTTTCTAGAAAATAAGAATGTCAGCAAAAATGCGTCGATATAATTTTATTAAAGTACTTGGTGAAGGACAGGTAGAAATGAAATAAATAAATAAATAAATAAATAAAAAGAAATAAGAATAATAAAAAAATCATTTTTGTTGAATAGTATGCTGTTGTATATAAAGCAAAAGATACACGAACAAATGATGATGTCGCAGTAAAAAAGATTAAAATCGGTAGTCGACAAGAAGCATCTGATGGAATTAATCTAACTGCTTTAAGAGAAATTAAATTTCTTCAAGAAGTTAAACATCCAAATGTTATAGAAGTATTGACTTGTGTTTTGTTTTTGTTTTAAATCTGATTATTTACAATTTCTTTTTTTTTGTTTTAAGTTACTTGACTCATTTGGAGAATACGGTTCAAACAGTCCAAGCATTTGTTTAGTATTTGAATTTATGAATACTGATCTTGAAGTAAAGTATTTTTCGTTTTTAGTTAGAGCATTAAAAAAAACAAAACAAAAAAGGATTTTTATTTTTCTAGAATATTATTAATAATAGAAATATTCTGTTGACAACAACACATACGAAATCATACATGATTATGTTATTACTTGGCCTTGAATATCTTCATAATAATTGGATACTTCATCGAGTTAGTACAGATATTTGCTAATAAAACTTTACGGAACTGTTGAAATCGAAACTAGTATTGAACTCATAATTGATTTTTTATCGAACGAAGTATACGATCGACACTAATGTATAAATAAGATTACAACAAAGCAGATATAAGCAATAAATGAATTACATTCTCTGATGTTTCCTTTGTTAGCAATACTGATTTAGAGAGTCTCTGAAAAAGGTTACTCATACTCTTTAGAAAGTCAAGAAGTAAAAGATAAAATTTAAGATAAGATATAGATGGAGTTTAAGTTCGATTTTTACCAAAAATATCAATTACACAAATCGCAATATGTGTAAAGAAAAAAACAATCAGGATACGAACGTTGATGGTAGCGACCTATGTATTTTGGAAAAGTAGAAATTCTAAATATAATGATGAGTCCTCAATTATTTTAGATTTATTTAATGAGCTTATTAAATAGTAAAAGAAACAAAAATATAGGTTCATACTTAAATAAAAATCTAGCAGAGTCGATTGTTTTCTATTCCTTGTGCGTTAGCATTCCAAAATGTTTCCTCAAACTACGTTAAAGGTGTCTACCTCTTTTTTGATCTTGTGTAGTTCTCGAAAACTGATCGATCGATCAAACTTGAATCTTTATTATATAGGTAGAGCACCAAAAATAAGGACACATGTGTTCAAGGAAAATAACTTTGCAGAGAATTTTTTCTGAAAAACTCAGGTTTTCCATAAGGCCACATCGTGGTTAGTTACCATCTCCATCTCATTTTCTTCACCGGAGGTCAAAATTTTTACCACTGATACATGCAAGTATTCTCCAAAGGTTAAAACAATTGTCCTATGTTTTCGGCTATTCTGTCCAAATTCACAGGATCCTGAAAGTCAAAAGCCAGGTTTTGGCACCGAACATTGATACATTTCGGAAACACAAAAGTGAGTTCTTTTTCAAAAAACTTAAAACTATCTTCGAGATACACGCCCAATCCGATTAAGTTTGATGAAAGTTGTAAGCAATCCGGATGTTATCCTATGGAAAATTAGAGTTTTCCCGGAAATATCCATTTCGGAGTTTTTTTCTCCTTCGAATATATATCTCTTTATTTTTGATGGTCTATTGGTGGTAACAATATTGATTGTAAAGTTTTCGAGAAATCGAAATGATCAAAAAGAGAATGAGATAGCTTTAATTGAAGAGTTTTTCAAATCAACGAAATCATTATGTCAATTTTATCATTATAACTTAGGATTTAAAACCAAACAATTTATTAATTGATAAACATGGTGTTTTAAAAATAGCTGATTTTGGTTTAGCAAAATTTTTCGGTTCACCATCAAGATTAATGTCACATGAAGTTGTTACAAGGTACACAATATCATATTAAGGCAAATATCATTCTATTGACATCAAAAATATTTTTTAGATGGTATCGATCACCTGAGTTACTTTTTGGTGCAAGAAAATATGGTACTGCTGTCGATATATGGGCAGCTGGTTTAATTATGGCTGAATTACTTCTTCGAGTAAATAGATTTATCTATTAACATTAATTAAACATAAATTTTGCAATTGTAAGGTACCATTATTACCCGGTGATTCTGATCTTGGTCAATTATTGAAAATATTTGAAGTATTCGGAACACCAACTGATAGCAATTGGCCGGTAAATCAAATCAATATTCGTGTCTATTTTATTTTATTTTTCTCATTATGATATTTTTAATACAAATAGGATGTCAAAACATTTTCAAATTATATTGAATTTAAACAAATGGAACCTAAACCATTACGAACAATATTTACAACATCAAAACCAGATGAACTTGATGTATTAGAACGAATTATGCAACTCGATCCAAAACGACGACCAAATGCAAGCGAAGTAAATAAATTTATAATAAAGAAATAAAAATAAAAGGAAATTTAATTAAATATAATGTTTTCTTTTTTATTGAATAGACTCTTCAAATGGAATATTTTAGTAATCCACCTGCTCCATGTCCAAGTGAACGTTTACCTAAACCAAAAGAAGTTCAACAAACTGAACAAAACAAACGTAAATTAGGAAATGATGAAAAAGGTTCGTTTGAAATTTTGGCATTTCTTTTTTTACATTTCATTTCATTTTTATTTTTAGTGACTGGAAAAAAAGAACGTCCATAGATACACTCAATCATATGATATTTTTTTCCATTCCAATATAAATATTCTTTTATAAATAAAATGTAACTATTATAAACAAGAATTCACTTTAGAACTTAATAAATGATTGAATGAATTGATATGAGGTGGAAGATACAATATCCTTTATAGGAATTATCAAAAACAAGATAATCATCTTTGCTGTCACACTTATATTCATATATATGCATTGTGTTATTATTAATTATCATGATTTTATCATTTAAAGACAAGAGTCTTATAATCATGACACAATATAGAATCGTTGGTTTTTGTTGTTGCAATATTATCATTTTGTACTACAAAAAAGATTTTCTAGTACTCTTATCAAATCTCATATAAGTGTAAAAAAAAATCTATCAAACATTAATGTATTTTCTACTTTGTTTATAACTAATGAGGAAATATTTTCAAGTATTGTCGGTTCATTTTTCAGTATGAACTTTATGCATCATAGTAAACCTTAGTGAAATATGTTTATCATAAAAATAATTTGCCTCTATAACCTATTTCGGAAGATATCGAACATTTCTAATGAGTTTTCGTTGTAGGATCTCACATTTGGAGTAAGACCATGTAATATAAGTTTCTTCGAGGTATGAAACTTTCAAAAATTTTTCAGATAGAAATTCAAAAATAGAGTCTAGCTACAATATTGAGATCGTATAACAAAAATTCACTAAAAATATGCACTTTCTTCAAACATTGGCTATAAGCAAGAGTTCTTTTATAGTAGACATAGATCACGTCGATCTGCAAGATGAACTCTCATCCTATCTGAAAAACCGATCGACAATAGGAAATATTCGCTTGTAAGTGAAAGATTTTTTTTTTACAAACAAAGCAATTTGAATAGTAAATCAAAGAAACAACTTCCATTGCATGAAGAAATTTGATTTTTAGAATATTGTTATTGAATAATTTGTTCATATCTGCATATATTGATTTACTGACTTATTAAAAATATTAACAAGAGACTATACTTTTTTCTAATTTGAACGATAATAACCTTTTCGACAAATTTTTTTCACTAACAAATAATCAGGATATATGATAATTTGAATTTATCATTAATTGTGGTTATTACAGTTTGTACTTATTTATTATAAATTTCTATGTCATTTGAAGAAGATAGATGTGTCAAATCAATAATGATATATTCATTGAATGTAAAGTAAAAATCTACAATCAATATCATATGGAAAGAACCATACATATTCAAACTCGATATGCATTTGTCCTTATTACAATGATAGTTCAATTGTCGGATACAATTGATTATCTGTTTTGTGTTCATGATGCATCTGTAAAACAATAATGGTCGTCAATTAGTTTTAATTTTCTAAACTATGACCGATTTTCAACAAGAATTAATTATAAAATATCTTCAGAAATGAAAAAGAAAATCTGTTCATAATCTTAAAATAATATATTGTTGAATTGTTTGCAAAGCTAAAGTTTTCAATAATATATAATTGATTATTCTCATCATCATATATTCGATATAACCTTTTATTTTATTTTATTATATTTCCATCGAATGAGTTTAATAAATATTATATCATTACAACAAATAAATTTGAAAATCTCTCAAAAACTATTTTTCTTTTTAGCAGACATATTTATTTATTAATTATAAATGTTATCATAAATATTCTCTTCAATCTAATACGACATTTATTTAAAAATAGTGTTCATTGGACCTAAGCTTTCAATAACATTAATTAGAAGCTATTCTCCGACAATCTTAATAAAAACTTCAAAATATTTTATTTCTTAAGTATCTCAATTATATTCATAAATAACTCTATATTTTTCTATATATCAAACAAGAACTTTCTATAATTGTATGTCATCTTAACGGGTACTTTTTTTTTATTAGTTTCCTGTGGTAGATTTACATTTTATCTATAGAAACCCCTCACTTTAGACTACGACATCTTCTAATTGTCACGTACTTGTAGACACATGTTAAACAGATCTGAAAAAGAATCCTATGAAATACAAAATTTATTAGTAAGAAAAAGCAAAACAGAAAACGTTATTGTATAATGTTTACATGCTCTCGTTGTTATGGCTCTTCCGTTTTATATTAAAAAAAATGTTCCTCTGTTTCTTTTTATGATGAGAAATCAAGCTAGCATATCTTTCTTGTGCCAAAAAAAGGTAATACTTTTTAGAGTATTCCACCCACATACTCGAGTTACACATACGTCGAAGAGAACTGCCTTTTTTTACTTAACGAGACGGAATAAAATATTCTACGTCAACTATTATAAAATTAAATGAAGTAAATATTAAAAAAATCATTTAGAAAGGTCATAAACTTAGAGGACAAATCAAATTTCAATGTTTTCTAAATTCAGCCATTTATATATATGTTTGATTGTTAATTTAGCTATGTCAGTTTTTTAAGCTAAGGCAAAAGCATATTTAAATGAAACTATGCTTCAAATATTTATGAAATTTCATACGATGTAACACCGAAATCAATACAAAGATCATTTCTAGAAAATTTTCTACAATAGATTTTTCATTTCCTATAAATCAAATTTTACCTTATTTATACTTATCTAAAAGTAATAGAATAACTATTTTAATATGGAAATCAATAAAAACCATGATGATGAAACGATCAAAGATGCTGAAATATGATTCTAAAGCAATAATATTATAAAACTTTATCTAGGGTTAATATGAGATCCATGCACCGAATGTTCGAAAGGGCGTGTTATCTTTTATAATCTATTTAAACCATTTTCTTTGCTATAAATGCTATAGACATTTCATTAGAGTTTATTGACATAATCTTGTCTAATCTTGAATATTATCTTTCATAATAATTAAATAATAGAAAATAAATTTTTA